CTGATGTACAACCAATCACCGATGAATTTTGTCAACAAATCTTACGTTTACAACAAGAAGATCCTGATTCAACTGTATTTCGTACTCGAACTGTAAATCAACCTCCAGTATCAGTAGCACCACCTAAAATATCTGAATTGACATCACGTGGTGATACATATCATATGATACCCATTGATAGAATGGAACAAATTCGACAAGAAACAGCTCATGTACTTGATATTGGTGTTGATGGTGAACAACAATCAAAAATAAAGAAATTAATTGGAAAAAAGAAAAAAACAAATAAAAAACGTCGTCCATCAGCACGTTTACGACGACGTACCGCAGCACTTGCACAAGCTATTGCTAATAATGATCAAGAAACTTCCGATGAAGAAGACACTGATGAAGAAGGAGCTAAAATTAATGATAATAATGATGATGACGATGATGATGATGAACCATTTATTATAAAACAATCATCTGCTATAAGTAATGGACTTCATGTTAAATCAACTGTAAGTGTTGCTGATAGTACAAGTGGTGGAACTGAAAATGATGTGTAAGTAATCTATTTCTACATAATAATAATATACATGTATATAATTAACAATTTTAGTGAAGTATTATTTGGTGGTACTGATAAAGATTATCGAGATACAGATATAACTTCTCAACAAACAATAACAAAAACCAATTCAAGTAATCTTGATGCTGATAGTATATTTGAAATAAATTCCAAATGTCTCTCACTTGCTGAACAAAAATATAAATCAAAAGAATTATCATCAGAAGAATATCAAGCAACATTAAAATTACTTCAAAATATACTTGAAAGTGAAGTAAAACGACTTACTGTGCAGCAAAAGTTAGTATTTTTATTAACATAAGAATGAATATACAAACAATCGTTAAATTCATTTTCTTTTCTAGTGCCAATTCATCCCTGTTAAATGGTGCTAATAATCATTCACTAACACATCAATCAAATCCTTTACCCACAACAACAACACCACCAAGTCATCCATTTCAGCAACAACTTCTTCAATTTGCTCAACAACACGCACCACAGGCAACATTGACACCACAACAACCAACTTTATCAACATTTCCCACTCCACCATTTCCATTTCCGGGTTTTGGTAATGATGCATATCGTCATGTTATGCAAATATTAGCTACAGTTGGTGCACCACCATCTTATACATCAAATTATAATTTTCTTCCTTATCTTCCACCACTACCACCTGCTCCGCCTTCATTTACACTCGTTCAGAATACATTTCAATCTCAACAACAACAACTGCCTACATCATCTGATCAACAAATGTTTTCTGCTCGTCAAAGTCCACCATTGAAACGTTCACATGATGAAAATAATAATAATAATAATCCATATGCCGATGAAGAGAATAAACGACCACGTTATGATCCCGTTACTGGTCGTGCAACACGTACACGTAATTTCGACGAAGAAAATGTAGCGCCTGTCCCATCATTGGTCGATGCAAATATAAATATGCTGAGAAAGTAAAAAAATTCTTTTTTTTGAAAAATTTTCTTATAAAAATATCCTATTTTATATATAGAAAATATGTTGGCATTGCTCAACAATTATATATTGGAAAATTTCAATGTCGTTTATGTGGTCTTCGTTTTACTGCTAAACAAAAACATCATTATACATTTCATCTTGATTGGCATTATTTAGAGAATAAACAAGAAAAACATTTAAGTACAACAACATCAGCAGCCGCATTATTACAACGAAGTCGTAATTGGTATTCATCTGTACAAGAATGGACAATTTATGAAGAAAATATTGAAGAACAATTGCGAACAGGAAAACTTCTATCAACACAATTTCGACCAGTCAAAGATAATAATCTTTTAATACAAGGAGAAAATATTTTATCATCATCAGGTGTAATTTCTTGTCCTGCAACTGGAAATGGTGATAGTGATGATGATGTATGTTGAAAACATTGATTTTATTTATATAGAATAAATTATTTTTCAAATTTTAGCGTTGTTTTGTATGTCATGATCCATTTGAGAACTTTTTTGATGATAATAGAGAAGAATGGCATTTGAAAGATGCTATTCGAGTTGATGGAAAAACTTACCATCCAATTTGTTATCAAGATGTTCAATATGAGGTAAATATAGTAAAAATATTTTTCGAACGAATTCTAATTTTAGTTTTTAAACAGATATCACACGAAAATCTACCAGTAGCGGATGTATTATCTGGTGATACTTCTTCAATATCGTCCAAGGATATTATGGATGTAACCACTAATCTTTTATCGGACGCGCCGACAACTGATTCTGCAACGACTATGAAAATCGAGAATAATGATACCATAGTTGAACCTTCTTCGCTGCCAGATGATTCGACACAACCAAATTATATTTCGTCTATGTCATTTGTTGATCTTGTTGAGACAATATTCATAAAAAAAGAAGATATTAAACCAGTTGAAAATGTTGAACAAATAACTACGAATGCACAAGAAACATTAACGGATACAAGACCTGTATCTGAAGATATTCCATTATCACCAACTACCGATGAACTTATATCTGAAACTCTAATTAATAACAGTTCAGAAGAAATGAGAACGACGTCGGATTAAGACATACATTTTTTTTCTTCTTGTTTGTTTCTCATTAGATTTCTGCAAGTTTATTCATGTATCAGTGTGTCTGCTTATTTGTTCATGTGCTCTCTTTTTTTCTTCTTTTAATTGTGCGTGTATATGTACGTACATAAGATTTAAAAAGGAAAAATATATGTAAACAAAATAATAATTTATCGAATATTATTTATTCAACGTTTAGATATTAAGGACACAGATTAGAAAACAAGATTGAATGCATCCCTTTTCTATGAAAACAAATCATTTGAATAGTGAAATATTATAATATCAGTTTAAAGTTACTCTAATTCTATCTTTATTTTGATTAATCGTACTACTTTATAAATTTTCTCTTAAATGAGGATTGAGGATACTGATAGATTAAAAACTAGAAGTTGTATTGAAACTGATTATACGAATTGCAAATTTGTAGAAATAGTAACGTCATACTGCCTGAGATTCTATGCAATTAATACTATCTCATCTGCTAATGAAAAACAAGAAAGTCATCCAAACTTTGTTAATTATAATCAAAAACGCAATAGTCATGCCTATTATATACCATTTTATATCGCTAAAATAATCATAATAAAAACATTAGTTATAGTTTCTATCACGATTCTGTCGTTAAGAGTGATATCGTTGTATGTTATTTTTTTTCTCTCTACAGGTAATTGCAACATCATGCAAAACATATATGATCCAAGACGAATATATATTTATGTAATGTGAAGAAAACAACAAAATATTATACGATCAACATATAAAACGACGCAGCACACATTTCACCAATATTCTACGATGGCAAATCAAACTGTCACCAGCTTCTTTAAATTACCGATAGAACTCGTCTATCGAATTTTGGATCATCAATCCGATTTTACCATTATCTGCTCTATGAGAAACGTCTGTCAACGATTAAATAGCATCATAGACAGTTACGATCGATATCAGGTAAACTTTTTTCTATCATAACAGTCCAATATGTATCTATTAACTCTCCAATTATTTCTTATTCAATATGAAAATAATGTCATGATGACCACCAAAACAAAAATTTCTTCTTTCCTTTCTTTTCAATCTCATCTAAATACTCTACATTTTAAACCAGGTATGATTTCCTCTCATTTGAAGTATTGCCCTTATTGTCGTTTACTTTTCTGTTCCTTCGTTCTTTCTGATACGTAAGTATATAATTGTATACTTTGAATGAAATCGATACGATTCTCGATAAGCAGAAATATAACACAGTATGATACTACCAGCACAAACACTTCTCCTATCAGAAAATGAAACATATTTGAGCAGTTTCTTTTAATATTATTTCGATAATAAAAAACAGATTTCGCAAGAAATTGACAATCTAAAAACTAGTTTATCTTATTGTAAATAATATCATAGAAATTTCCTTCAAGAGTATTTCTGACAATTATTCTTTTGAGAGCATCTGCGACTGTGGGAATCGGTGACGGTGAATACTCGTAGTAATATCTTTTTCATCTGGGTTTCTGCGTGATAATCTTCAGGACTGTACAGCACGTAAAGTCACAGAAACATATAGACGCATATCCATGCAATAATCAACATTTTATGTCAGATAACAGCGACCATCTATTCTGTCTCTTTATCTGTACTATATCCTTTTTGCATCCTTTCATTTAGACACTTACGACACTCGATCTAAACAGCGATATAATCGGAGATATTGGAACACAAATTTTGGCCCAAGCATTACAACACGACACAGTAATTCTCACTTTCTCTTGACCTGTATCATATCTTAACCTCCACTTGCTCATCTAGACACTCACTACAATAAAGGTCACGCAAAATAAAATCGGAGAAGTTGGAGGACAACATTTGGGTGATGCATTACAACACAACTCAGTAATTCTAATTCTATTTTCGTCTATATCGTATATATACCACCATTTTGTCATTTAGACACTTACTACATTAGATCTCGATAATAATCAACTCGGAGCTGCTGGAACACGATATTTGTGTGATGCATTACAACACAACACAGTAATTCTCATTCCTTCTTCTTTTATAAAGTATCTATACCACCCTTTTTCCATCCAGACACTCACAACACTACATCTCAGAGCAAACCAAGTCGATCATGTCGGAACACAATATTTAGCTGACGCATTACAACACAATACAGTAGTTGTCATTTTCTCTTTATCTATACCATATCATTATCTCTACTTTTTCATCTAGACACTCATCACATTAAGCATCGGGTGGAATGAAATCGGAGATGTTGGGGCGCAACATTTGAGTGACGCATTACAACGCGACACGGTAACTATTATTCTCTCTCTGACAATATCATGTATTTACCTTCACTTTTTCATCTAGGCACTCACCATGCTAGATATCGGATTTAATCAAATCGGAGATGTTGGGGCACAGCATTTGGGTAACGCATTACAGCAAAATACAGTAATTATCATTTTTTCTTCAATCATACAGTGTCTATACCTTCACTTTTTTCGTTTAGACACTTATCACACTGAATCTCCAAAACAATCAAATAGCAACTTCTGGAGCAAAACATTTGGCTGATGGGTTAGGACACAATAAAGTAATTATTATTCTCTATTCAACCATATCGCTTCTATACCTTCAATTTTCCATCTAGACTCTAACCACAATAAATCTCGCTCAAAACAGTATCAAAGCTTCTGGGGCAAAACATTTAGCTGATGGATTAAAACATAACTCGGTAATTCTAATTCTCTCTCCATTTATATTATGTCTATATCATCCATTTTTCATGTAGACACTTACTACACTAGTTCTCAACAGCAATGAAATCGAAGCTGCTGGGGCACGATATTTGGGTGATGCGTTGCAACACAATTCAGTAGTTCTTATTCTTTTTTTATCTATATCATATCCTTAGCTCTACATTCTCATCTAGGCACTGCTCACACTAAACCTCTCTAACAACTCAATCGAAGCTTTTGGAACACAACATTTAGCTGATGGATTACGGCAGAACACAGTAATTATCATTTCTTCTTCCTCTGTACTATACATTTATCTTACTTTTTCATCTAGACACTTACCATACTAAATCTCGATAATAATAACATCGGAGATTTTGGTGCACAGTACTTGGGTGATGCATTACGAGACAACAAAGTAATAGCCATTCTCTCTTCAACCATATCGAACCTCTATCTCCACTTTTACATCTAGGCACTCACCTCATTAAAACTCTCGATCAATGAAATCGGAGATGATGGCGCAAAACATTTGGGTGATGCATTACGACACAACACAGTAACTATCACTCTCTCTTCAACAATATAGTGTTTTTTACGTCTCCATTTTCATCTAGACGCTAACCACATTAAATCTCTCGACCAATCAAATCGAAGCTGATGGGGCAGCACATTTGGGTAAAGCATTACAACACAACACAGTAATAGTCATTTTCTCTTCGACCATATAGTGTGTTTGCACCCACATTTTCATTTAGGCACTTACTACACTTAATCTCGATTCTAATCAAATCGGAGATATCGGAGCACGACATTTTGCTAATGCATTGCGACACAACACAGTAATTATTATTCTATCTTCATCTATATCATACGTTTATCTCCACTTTTTCATTTAGACACTCACTACAATAAGTCTTGAATCTAATGACATTGAAGATGATGCAGCACAATATTTGGCTGACGCATTACAACACAACACAGTAATTAGCGTTCTCTCGTCATCTATATTCTATCTTTACCTCTACTTTATCATCTAGACGCTCACAACACTAAAACTCGGATCTAATGGTATCGGAGAGGTTACAGCACAACATTTGGCTGATGCATTACGACAGAACACAGTAATTGTCATTCTCTCATCAACTATATCATATCTTTACCTTCACTTTTTCATCTAGACGCTTACCACACTAAGTCTTTATAATGAGCGAATCGGAAATGTTGGAGCACAACATTTAGCTGATGCATTACGGCACAATACAGTACTTTTCACTCCCTTTTCAACTATAGCATGTCTTTATCTCTACTTTTTTTTGGTCTAGACACTCACAACACTAAATGTCGGTTCTAATGAAATCGGAGACGCTGGAACACAATATTTAGCTGATGCATTATGGCACAACTCAGTAATTGTCACTCCCTCTTAAACCATCTCATGTCTTTATTTCTGCTTTTTTTATATAGACACTTACAACAATAAATCTCGCTTCTAATGAAATCAAAGCTGTTGGAGCACAATATTTAGCTGATGCGTTACGACACAATTCAGTAAATGTCATTTTCACATCAATTATATTATATCTTTACCTTTACTTTTTCGTCTAGACACTCACCACTCTAGAACTTTACAGAAATGAAATCGGAGCAGCTGGGGCACGATATTTGGGAGATGCATTACAACACAGCTCGGTAATTCTAATTCTCTCTTCATCTATATCATATCTATACGATTCTTTTTTCATCTAGACACTCACTACACTAAGTCTCGAGAATAATGAAATCGAAGAGGAGACGATGAATAAAATCAATGAATTAGTTAAACGTAACGAAAGGAAAAGAAAACTGTGAACGATAATAATTATTGTTTTTTGGTGACGAATCAATAACTAGTGACGGTGATCCCAGTATATTTTTTTATAATTTTTACAGAAACAGTAAATAAAACTGCTCGCTTTCACACTTAATGTATATTGTGATGATAGTTTTTGTCATGTGACGACGAAGATGGGCGTAGGTGTAAGAGCATATCTACATCTGCAGCCAAACTCTCGATTCAATCTTGAAATATTATCAAAAAAGCAATTTATAGTTGTAATAACTGGGTTTTATCACATCAGGTTTATTGAGTTGCTAATGGATTACGACTTTTCAATTGTTGAAGTTTGCCTAGATAAAAATCTCGAAGAGTACAACCGTCTGGTGTCGTTTCAACTAATCTTTTAAACCTTTTAATGGATTGTCTCTTCACTTCATCTCGATCGGTTTCTTTACTTGACTCGAGTCGCCTGTTTTTCAATTGTGCTTCATCGGGTGAATCATTGAAGTTTGACGAATGATCATCTTCTATTAAACGCAATGGCTGATCATCAAAGAACATTTGTCCGAGTATTCTTCGAGATATTCTCACGAACGGTGGAGAACATTGTAAAAGTAGTACCTCTTCAAAATGATTACAATCCCATGATGCTATCGAATACATTCGATAATACAGCGTATTTAAGATACATGTGCGTGCATATCTTTCAGCTGCTTCCAGTTTCGTACGATTAACTTGTTCAAAATCAGCAAGTTTTATATCCGAATCATTTACCATTGCAACATTTTCATTTCCCGTCCAGAAAATACAAAGCCAATTCATGACAATAAGTAGTTCTTTCCTTTCGATTTCATCTTGATTTCGATTTTCTGTACCTTCACCCATTTGATTATGATAACTGCCACCAGTCATTGAATGACGTTCAAAAAATAAATTCCAAGGTGAATGTCTTATTCGATTATCAGTATAAGATTTACCATCTAAAGTAATATCGTTTTCGATAAAATCTAAACACATTAAATTAACCATCCAGGTTGATAGATTTCGAGCACATTCTGAGACAACTTTGGCATGAGCAAATAGAACGAATTCACGATCAGAATCGATATCTTTTCCACTTTCTTTGATTATTTGTCGAAACCAAGCAGTATATTGTTCAGATTCGTCCATTAACCGCTTAAAGATAACCCTTTCTAGGTCTTGATAGCTCTCTTTCACTCCAGGTAGACGTACGTAATAATCTCTGTCGTCTAGTTGAATTATTTCTCTGCCAGAACGAAGCTGTCCTTGAATGTTTTTTGCATATTGTTTTTCTTTTGACCAGTAAATAACTAAACTGCTGAGCGGCTCATGAGGCAAATTCAGAGCTTCTTCTTCTTCATACTGTCCATCAAAATCAAATTTAAACTGGTCACGAATAAGTTTCAACAACTCAATAATTTCTGATTTATGAATGTATACGGGAAAGTCAAGTTTCGAACCACCAGATATACATAAATAATTTCTTCTATCATCACACCAGGATTTCATTGATTCTTTGCCAGGCCGACCACACTTAGGTATGAGTCCAATGGATTCAAGTGCAGAAGGTTCAGTTGATGGGCACACCTTGATTTCTTGTTGATTTAAAATACTAATGGCTTTCTCAACTATCTTGTCGTCGGATGCAGATAATCTCTTATACTCGTCAATAGAGAATTTCAGTATTGGATACTGTAATCCGCGATTAAAATGTAAGGCTGTTACAGCTACCAGAAATCGTCGTATATGTGCAGTATCCTCTCTTATTAACATTTGTTCGCATTTTTCGATGAAATCCTTCACCTGTTTGTCGTCATAATTGACATCATTGCCATTGAGATACGCACGCACAAGAATATAGACGTAACAAGCTTCGTACTTATCAATGGCTCTGTTGACCAATTCTAAATATTTCTGAAATGTGGCCCTGTCTTCAGTTGTCAAAGTTTTCAGAGTTAATACTGTTTGAAGAATTAATCGAATGAACTGATATCGCCGACAGCAGGAATCCAATGAAAATCGAAGACTTGATTCACCATTATTTGCCAAAGAAGTTCCTTCGAGCGTTTCTTGATAGTCGAGAGACTTTAATTTTTCTTGAATAGCTAAACTAGCGGTTGCTGCTTGTTCACAGTAATTTCTAGCTTCTTCATCCGACAGACTTGATAGACAAGATAACGTTATTTCTTTGCAAGCTAAAGAAATATCATAAATCGGATAAATTGTTTTGAATTTTTCGATCAATTGTTTTAGATTTTCGTGGTATGCTTTTTCATAAAGTTTCAGGTTATGTATTAAGTAAAAAAGGTCTTCATCGTCTTCATCGTTCTTCACCGATGTTTTATCTAAAACTCTGTTTCTCTGTGCTACAATTGTTTGAAAGTCTTGTTTGGTGTCTAATATATTTCGCTTTTTTTTCCTCTGTTCTTTTTGTTCTAACTGTTTTTGTTGGATAAATTCTAATTTTGCATCCCAAAGAGTTTGATATCGACGCTTTTCATCACTGCAAGATTGACTCCAAGGCTTTTGGTGCACTTTATCAGGTAAAAACTCATATGATTCTCCTTCTTGAGCCATTTCGCGCTGTATTGCTTTGATATCTTCAGCTTCAGCTTTTCGTACTAAAAGCTTTGCAGTCTTCAAACGAGAATATCCTTCTACAGAACGCCAGTTAAAATTGAGAAGTTCGTCGTCAGGTTTTGTGTTAGTTGCACTCATGATAACCTATAATTCTTATAAAATGAAAAAATATCGCTTTTTCTTTTCTTTTTGAATTCTTTATCTATGTATGCTTTTATTATTATATCTTCACAAAATAAAAACAAAAGCAAATACTTTTGCTTCCCCAGGTTGTTGATGATTACGACGACGTGTACGACCGTATACATAGTACTTACGGCTGTCTACGGATCATAAATCGTCCGTTTAATATTCACCGTATTCCGGTCGTATATCACTGTGTCGTACACGGTGTGGGCGCAGGCATCATTGTCAATATAATAAGAATATAGCACCCACATCCATACCCTATTTCATTCAAAATCTAAAGATTCAATAATCTATCCCATATTTATAGAACATATTGTGTGATAAATTTTATTATCTATTATTGACAGTAATTTGACTATTATAAAATGTAATACAATATAGGAACATAAAAAGTCAAAAATTTCGATTCAAGCTACATAGTATAGTTACTTAGATATATAAAAGATCAATGTAAAATCATTGACAGAAAGACATTTTTCTATTTATTTTCATTGTTGACGAATTCATTCAGATCTAACAATTCAATCTTTAATGTATTTATCTATAATAATCGAATTTCTATTCTATATTTCATTCAGATGTTTATTTAAGTTACAAAAAAATACGTTTTTGCTGAGCTTTTAATCATAATTCCATAGGAAAACTGTGATTATTCATCAATGCAGCATTTTTCAAAAATTCCCCATAGATTTTGCTTAATCATTGATTTTTGTGTATAATCACGAATAAGGAATAGACTGGAAAATATTTAAAGATTTATTAAATTCACAGTTATATAGAATTTCTAATTTTGTACATGCAGAAAAATGTGATACAGAGATGTAAATAAGAATTATTTTAAATTTATTTAAAAGTGTTGCTCTGGCAGACTAGTGTGTTATCACCAGTCCGCACAATTTCGTCATCGCAACACGTATTTGATCGGGTGGGATCATTTACCTCTTGGTAAGTTGTAATAAGCAACTTTTCTCGATAGTATATGGGGCACGATATCTAGCTTGTCTTTCTATATATCACATCGAGGATATAGAAAGGAAAGTGAAATGTGTAAAGACCCAGTAGATGTCGTGCTCCACACACTATCGACAAAGTTGCTTATTACAACTTACCAAGAGGTAAATGATCTTTACTGATCAAATACATGTTGCGATGACGAAATTGTGTGGATTGGTAGCAATACTGATCTGCCAGAGCAGCACTTTAAAAAAAATGAAAAATATTTTGTTAACTATATAATTCATTATTTATGTAACTTGAAAGTTAGGGAATTTTCTATGGTAAGCTAAAAAATGAGCTATCTGGAGATTTTGAATGAGACACATAAATGAATGATAATCAAGGTAAAGTATATCTGACTTATCGTATACAAAAAATATTCCTTAATTGAAGTTTCTAATAGATCAAAAGAATTATCCACAAATGTAAAAATAGTTTACAGATGTATTTAGAATACTATGAATTGTGCAAAATGGATCTCTTCTGTGCTATTTAATTTGATTGTGTTCGAGATTTAGTTTAATAAGTAGATGTATGAAAAACTGAAAATATATAGATGCTTGAAATAGATGAAGTAAGAGTGACGAACTTTTTATATCAGCCGACATACCTTCAAGATTCCAATGACATGAGAGTTTTCTTCAAGAAAGTTCAAATAGAAAAAGATAACTGATTTTTGTTTTGAATCAAAATTTATGTGAAACGTATAGAATTTTCAGGATATAGTCGTCCAAAATAAACATACATAACTATTGATATAGTCCATTTTAGCTAACCATTCTTCAATATCAGATGAATAAATCTCTATGTATATTGTATTTAGTACGTATCAGCGATATTGTCAATACATAGATAAATTAATAATATACTATAATTTGAGAAGTGTCATAAATATTCAGGTTTATGTCTCCTTAGCAGCATGAATGTTTAGAATTTGTTTTATTACTCAATACATTCATCGAATTGGTGTACAGCATATTCTTCCAAATATTCTTCAAAATTTAATATATTCTAGTAGTTTATTGGTACAATAATAACATCTCTAACGTTATAACAGAATAGTTATGTATGATTTTCTTGAGTCAAAATATCTTCCAGTCTGTCATATGATTCTTCATACCAATGTAATCATTTTATTGAGCTCTACAATTAGTACCTCTTTTAAATACTATGATGACTCACATTTAGGAGTCTTTTTTATCAGTGACACTTAGGTGAACTAAATAATAGATAACTAAAATCTTAT